TAATAAGGGTAATTGTGTGACAATATGAAATTTGTAGAGATTTTCTGTTAAAGTTGCTGTTGCTGGGTTTCAAACCCTGATCTCCAACATGAAAGCCCATGGCACAAACCATGAGACCATTAGAGCTGTGGTAGAGAATGAGGCCAGGGTTTGGTTTGTATATATGCAGAAAGTGGCCACATTGCCAATGTAATGGTTGTCACTAATTTGAAAAATATTACAACAATAAAGCAAAATTAGGACAATATTATAGTAAAACATCAAAATACAATCATATTAGTATTGTAAACCCTGAACTATTGAAATTAAATATTATTAAACTATGGTGCAGTACTGAGTAGATACAGCATTGGGCAGTATTGGACTAATACAAGGCTCCATTGACTCCCATTATAAATTATTAAACATCAATATTTCAAAAACTTTAAGTTGTACAGGCACCAAAAGACATAGCCATTACAATGGCAGCTCTAGGACAAAGTATGCAGGAGGAGAAGCATGCCAAAGTGGAGATGACTTGGGTGAGAAACGAATCACAAGTGTGCATTGCATTGGCAATGCACACTGATTACTTCCTTTACAAACATCATGTTGATGTCCACCCAGTCTTTTGATTTTTTTGTTTGCAAGATTTTTAACAATACTCAGTATTTCTTCTTTGTCAGTTCCATCAAGAAAAATAATATTGGCACAACCCATTTCTGTATGATTCACATTATTATCAGTGTGCATTGCCAATGCAATGCACACTATTGTGATTCATTTCCCATCTAAGTCATCTCCACTTTGGCACACTTCTCGTCCTGCATACTTTGTCCTAGAGCTGCCATTGTATTCAGTGTGCATTGCCAATGCTATGCACACTATTGTGATTCGTTTCCCATCCAAGTCATCTCATTAATAATATTTAATCTAAATAGTTCAGTGGTTACAATACTAATATGATTGTATTTTGATGTTTTACTATAACATTGTTCTAATATTGTTCTATTTCTGCAATATATTGCAGTTTATTATCAACAATTGCATTGGCAATGTGGCCTCTTTCTGCACACATGCAAACCAACCCCTGGCAGTGCCCTCTGCCACAGCTCCAATGGTCTCATAACATGGGCTTTCATGTGGGAGATCAGGGTTCAAAACCCAGCTATGGTAACTTTAACAAAAAATCTCTACAAAAACTTCATATTATTACACTCTTACCCTCATTACAAACACCTGCTGACTTGACAAGCACAAGCTGGTATAGAAAACACATTTGAACTTGGTCAAAGTTCATTCTGCAAGTTCACTGCTACAGGCAAAGCCATGCTGCAGTGACATGCTACATGGCAATGCACACGTGTTTTTACATTGTAAAAACCCATGTCTAATTCATGTCTGTAAAGCTCCTGTGCCAAATGATTGCTATGCCTTTTGGTGCTTGTACAACTTAATAGTTTTTGAAATATTAATGTTTAAAATCAAACAATGGAAGTCAATGGATCCTTGTATTGTATCTACTCAGTACTGCACCATAGTTTAATAATATTTAAACTCAGTAGTTCACAATGAACAGTGTTTACAATACAAACATGATTGTATTTTGATAATTTTACTATATTGTCCTAATATTCCTTTATTGTTGTAATATATTGCAGTTTAGTGTCAATAATTGCACAGGCAATATGGCTTCTTTCAGCACACATACAAGCCTAACACTGAAAGTACCTACTGCAACAGCTCCCATGGTGAACACTATGGGCTTTCATGTGGGAGATCAGGGTTCAACCCCAGCCATAAACAAAGTATTTCATTAAAACTACATAATTCTAATTGTCATATTCTCACACAATTACCCTCATTACAAACAACTGCTGGCTTGGCAGGCACAAGCTGGTACTTGTTTAGCAAACACATTTATACTTGGTCACAGTTCAAGCTGCAGGCATTGAACACTTGTTTTTGCATCGTAAAAACCCATGTCTAGTCTACTTTTGGTATTTTCGCTGCAAGATGGGCCAACATTAACAAAATAAGGATTAAATCCATTAACAATTCATCCTGATCATGTAATTCATTTCCATCCTTTACAAAATATTGAGATACCTGAATTTTATTCGCCATGTTTCTTTCATATCAACATTATTTTTGTTTAATAAATCACTAATATTCTTTCTTATGCTTTCTTATAATCCATACCAACTTATTTTTATACTTTTTGTATCTGTCTTCTGCTTCTTTTGTTCTCGACTTCAGAAAGCTTGAGTACAGGTAGTTTGTTTACACGCATTTCTTAAACCTTTAGTCATACATAGTTTGTCAGCACTATTTTTTCTTTGCATAATTTTTTTTGCACACAAGTTTTTTTATTCAGATCTTCAAAAATGTTCATGAAAACATCATATGCTTTGTTTACATCACTTAAGGAACTTTCAGGCGAATCTCATCCACCCCCGGTGCCTTGTCACCGAGGAGCTTTTTAACCACGTCTGTGACCTCAGCACTAACGACTGAGTCCACAGGCTCTGCTTCCTCATTGGAAGATGTGTTGGTGGGATTGAGGAGGTCTTCGAAGTATTCTGCCTACCGACCCACAATGTCCCGAGCTGAGGTCAGCGGCACACCAAACCACCTCAACTGGCTTCTTTAGAGGTGCACACTACCTTTTCAGGTCAGCAGTGCACCATGCCTACCATAAAGTGTTGGTGGTGAACCGCCTTACCCCTGTGAGGCGCCGAATTGTGGACCAGAATTGCATCAAAGCTGTACGGAAGTCTTTTTCCATGGCCTCTCTGAACTCTTCCCATGTCCAAATTTATGCTTTAGCAAACACCCGAGCTGCAGTCTGCTTGGACTGCCGGTACCCAACAGCTGCTTCCAGAGTCCCTTCTTCTTCTGACAGCATCCCTCACCGTTGGTATCCACCACCAGGTTCCGCTGGAGGGTTGCAGCCACAACAGGCACAGACAACCATGAGGCCACAGCTCCGGTAAGCAGCATCGACAATRGAGGTATGGAACATGGCTCCCCCAGAACATATTCAAAGTTCTCCCGGAGTTGAAGCTCTGTCTGATGTGAGGCTCTGCCAGACATTCCCAGAAGACACTCATTATACGTTTGGGTCTGCCAGGTCTGACCGGCATCCTCCCCCACCATGGGAGCCAAGCCAAGGACATAATCACTATCTTAAAAGTGTGTGTGTGTGTGTTTTGGTGAGACAGTTTTTAAATATCTTTTTTTTTCTGCTTCGGATGAAAAAAATTGGGGGTGGGGGGGGACATGTCCCACCCCGTACCTATGGCGGTTACACCCATGGAGCCAACTCACCACCAGGTAGTGATCAGTTGACAGCTCCACCCCTCTCTTCACCCAAGTGTCCAAGACATGCGGCCGCAGATCAGTTGAAACAACAAAGTCGACCATCGAACTGCGGCCTAGGGTGTTCTGGTGCCAAGAGCACATATGGATACCCTTTTGCTTGAACATGGTGTTCGTTATGGATAATCCATGAGGAGCATAGAAGTCCAATAACAAAACAGTCGGGTTCATATTGGGGTTGGGGTGGCGTCCCCACCCCCCCAACCACACGCCTCCAGGTCTCACTGTCTTTGCCCGCATGAGCACTGGAATCCCCCAGCAGAAGGAGGGAGTCCCCGTTAGGAGTGCTCCCAAGCACCCCCTCCAATGACGACAAAAACGGTGGGTAGTCTGAAAGGCTGTTAGGCGCATAGGCACAAGGTCATACATTGTATTAAAATCATTTTTATTAATTTAATTTCTATTAAAATAAAGTCAGAAGAATATCAGAACACAGCAGACGAAGCATAGAACAATAAGCTAAACAATAAATTGTGGAATGTACTTCAGTAAAGAAAATAAAAGCTCCAGCTGGTCCAACATGGAGGCTTTATTTCAACCACAGTCAAATAAAGCATCATTTATCTATATACTTTTTCATATCTATATATCTATGTATATATATATATATATATATATATATATATATATATATATATATATATATATATATATATATATAGTTTTTCATATACACTTTCAGGCAATAATTACAGAGGATTCTTTACAGAATCAGGTTTCTCGTGGTTCTCGTAATTTACAAGTAAACTTACTTTTTGGATAATTAGACCACGGAAAARGTCAAGGCAACTTTATTTTGCCTTGTACATAACGTAGAAAACTGGCACGGAGGACGACTATTTTATACACAGTAAAAATACAATAAAATTAAATTACACACCGGAGACAAAAGTTATGTAAACCTTTCCCCGTTACAACAAACCTTAAAAACAAAACAAGCAAAAAAAAAAAAAAAATCACATTTTGTTAAAAAAACAAAACAAAAAACAACAAAAAACCCCACTTTCTTGCCCTTATATACTGCAGCTTTCATAACTTCAGATTTTTGTCTTTGTTGAATTAGTTGGTTGGCTTTGAATGGCAAAAAATTTATCAGCACAAAAACAGAATAAACCACTGAAGCGGCAGAAATCGACAGAAAACATCAGCAGAAGGCAACAGACAGCAAACGAGAGGAACCCAGCAGAATGTCTGGTTCCTCTCAGCAGAACTTAGAACAAAGGTTCTTAGAGATCTTATGCTTTAGGTCAATGATATCATGAGGGTAGTGGACCTTTAACATACAGTTTGGTTACTATGGCAATAGTGGCTTCCACAGTCCTGTACAGCATGTCCAGCACGTCACGTGGGGACATCTTTGAGGGTGRGGTGTGACTCCCACAGTAGTCAGGCCCCTCCCCTACCAACCCAAGGGCTGATGGAAAGGCAGTGTCCTCTGAAAGGGGTGGGGTGGACCTGATTCTGGCTTTGGATGCTGCCTCCTTTTCTTCTTTCAACTCCTCCGAGGAGGTAGATGTTGTTTCACCTCTGCTCCCATCTAACTGCACCTCCACCTGCTTTCCAGCCCCGCCCACAAGCTGCTGTGGTTCAGGCTCCTCCCCCTGCACAAACCCCTCTGCTGCATCCTGCAGCAAGGAGGAGGAAGAAGAAAATGATGATGACGACGATGAGGAGGAGGCCTCCATCTTCTCCTCTTTCAAGGAGGAGTCCAGGTTTTCAGAGGTGGTGGGGGTGGGGTCGGGAGAAGGAGGATCCTGCTCTGTGCCWGGGTCTATCAGGGAGGAGTCCCTCGTCTCTGTATCTGAGGTGCTGGTGGGTGTTAATGCATCCTGGTGGTCGGATTTCAGCTCGCTGCAGTCGGGGAGAGCTAAGGAGGAGGAGGCCATGCAAATGGGGGGCTCTCTGACTCTGCCTTCTTCACTGCACACTCTCCGCCTCTTCACAGGAGTTACTCCTTCATCCTTAGCTGCAACAAAAAGACAAGAGAATAAATACCTTTAAAAATCAGTGTTTTTTTTTTGGGAGACTTATCATATTTTAAAAAGAAGAGAGGAACAAAAACAACAATACAGAGGTTTCAAACAAAGCAAACCAAAAGGCATCATTAACTCACACATACAGTGGGGAAAATAATTATTTAGTCAGTCACCAATTGTGCAAGTTCTCCCACTTAAGAAGATGAGAGAGGCCTGTAATTGACAACATAGGTAGATCTCAACTATGAGAGACAAAATGTGAAAAAAAATTGAGAAAATCATTTTGTCTGACTTTTAAAGAATTTTTTTGCAAATAATGGTGGAAAATAAGTATTTGGTCACCTACAAACAAGCAAGATTTCTGGCTGTCACAGACCTGCAACTTCTTTTTTAAGAGGCTCCTCTTTCCCCCACTCATTACCTGTATTAATGGCACCTGTTTGAAGTCGTTTGAAGTCGAAAGGCACCATAATCACTCACTATTTTGTGCATTTAACATAAAAATATCAAACTGAGGTTTTTATTTAAACTGTTAAGAGTGCTCTTTATTACAAAGCTGTGCAGTTAGAATATCAAGCACCTTCAAGGCCTTTATACAGAAATTAAGCACTTTTCAAACCTCGAAAATACTTTGTTAAAATTCAGGCATTTTCATGGATTTTAATCACCTGTCTCTGACTCTGGAACAAGTGGCAGACAAAAGAAAGATAGATATAATTTAAAAGGTTGGTGTACATCATTTAAACACACAGCCTAGAAACATAAAAATATCATGTTGAGTGTGTATCAGAGAGTTTTATGAAAGATTTTCAAGCATTAGCTGAGGTAAGCTTTTTTGTGAAAACTGAGAAAATGGACTCTCTCAATAGAAACATACACTATATTGCTAAAAGTATTTGCTCACCCATCCAAATGACTGTGCACCAGTGCACAAAGCAAAGGTCCATAAAGACATGGATGGCAGAGTCTGGTGTGGATGAACTTGACTGACCTGCACAGAGTCCTGACCTCAACCCAATAGAACACCTTTGGGATGAATTAGAGCGGAGACTGTGAGCCAGGCCTTCTGTCCAACATCAATATGTGACCTCTAGGGATGGGTACCTTTGACGTTTGAAACGATTTGGTACCGTTATGGCAATATATACTTAACAAAGACAGAAATACGTGGTCCAAGAATGAAGGTACTCCGTGAGATGATCAGCTGAGTTTT